TTACAATTTAAAAAAAGTAATTTGTTCAAATTGTAATAAAAATAATACTGGATATGATTGGTATAAAGAATGTTATTCTAATTTATTTTAACAAAGTTTTTCTAATTGGACTAGTAAAAATAAATTTATTGATAAATTTATTTAAAATATTCAAATAAATTCTCAAAATAAAATGCAATTACTAGATTGGATTCCTTATAATAAATTTAAAAATATTGAATATTTTGATAAAAAAGGTTTTAGTATTATATATAAAACAACTTGGACTGATAGATTTATTATATTTTATGAATATAAAGATAAAAGATGGATTAAAATTAATAGTATTAGTGTAATTCTTAAAAGTTTTAATAAATCATCAAATTTAAATGAGAATTTTTTTAAATGAGGTATAGATTAATTAATATATTTAATTTAAATAATAAATTTTTAAATAAATTTATTTTTATTTTAGTAAAACTTTATTATAAATGTAATAGTCAATTAAAAATATATTCAGATGAAAATCTTTATTCAATTATATAAATTTACTCAAAATTTAATTATTGTAATTTTCATCATCATAATATTTTAAATATTAGGATTTTATCTATTAATAATTTAAGATTATGTGAACCTATAGATTATTTTCAAACTTCTAAAGGAAATGATATTTATGGTATTTTACCATTTATAACACCTGAAATTTTAAGAGGTCAACCTTATACTTTAGCTAGTGATATATATAATTTTTCTATGATTATGTGGGAATTAATAGAAGTAGTTCCTCCATTTAATAATAAAGCTCATAATCTTCAACTTGGATTAGATATTTGTAAAGTAAAACATTCTAAAATTATCAAAAATACTCCCAAATGATATATAAATTTAATAAAAATATGTTGGAATATAGATCCATTAAAAAGGCCAATTGCATTAGAAATTAAAAAAATATTAATAATTTGGTTAAAAATATTAAAAGTAAATATTTTGATATAGAATTAAAAGATAATATTATAGATTTTTATAAAGCAGATAAAGCATTAAAACAAAATCAAGATAATAATATAAATAATATAAAAGATCATCCACAAGCATTTTATATAACGATTACTTGATTTTCTAAAAGTTTAGAAATTAGTCAAAATATTGGTAATTATTATAATATATATATAATTTAATAATTTCTTAATTTAACATATATTTTTAATTTAATAGAAGCTTTAAATATTACAAATGATGAAATAAGTAAGTAATTTAAATATAAAAATTGGAAATATATATTTTAATTTATTTACATTAATTTATTTTTATAATAGATGAAAATAATTAAAATCTATTTATAAATATATTTTTTTTCTTTTATAATTATATTATTATAATTTTATGAAATATTTATTTAGTAACACTGTATATAGAATAAATATTACAGTTTTTAATTACCCAAATAAACTTTTATAAATAAATTAAATTATAATTAATGAATGCACGTCCTAGGTATTCATATATTTCATCTAAATTATCACCACTTAAATTAAAAAAACAGATTGTTAAAGATTATCGGGCTCAAATAAGAAAAAACACAAGAATAAAAATTTAGCTTAAATAAATTACAAATTCAATTTAACAAGAATTTAAAAAAATCCTTTTTATGAAAAAAGTTTATAACAAAAGTTCCCGATTAAGTATATCTAGCAATTTAATTAAATAAAAAATAATGATTTATTATTATTGGCATATTATTTTCATGTTACCTAGATGTCAGTTTAAATTTTAATTCTTATTCGTTAAACAAGTATTTTAAGCATTTTTATATTATTATTGAATTACCTTATATTATTACAAGATATAAGAAGAATAAAATTTTTCTATTACTCAAGCTTCTAATAATATATAGTTTAATAATGCTTTGACTGTTGATTTATAAATTAGAGATATTAAAATTAAATTAGGGATGGAAAGGTCAGTCAATGGTCGGTCAAAGACCTTTGACCGATTTTACCTTAAATATCGCAGGATTTAATATTTAAAATTTTTGGTTTTTTATTTAGCCAAATAAGATAATTTGAATTTTTGAATTAACTATTATGATATTTTTTTTTGAAATTCCCTATATAAAAAATCTTTTTATGTTGTGATTTATTTATTTTTGCATTTCCTTACTCATTGAGTTTACCTTTTCGTTATTTAGTGGCGCAGAATAATCGCGGATTTTAATTTTATTCTCTAATTTTATATTTATTGTATATCATCATACAAAGAATTCTTAGTTTACTAATTAATACATGATTGGTCAACCGGTCTGTCAAAAGCGTTTGACCGACTGATAACATTCTGGGACTTCGTTAATGATGCTTTATTTTTTTTTTTTTTTTAGGAGAGATTTATAAGTTTAATTTGAAAGTTTATAAAAATAGTTTGATAATTATTCAAGCTACAAAATAAATTCTTATATTTGAATATATTGCAAATAAGATGGATATTTTTTACATATCTAGTGATGCACAATTTGATGTTCAAATGAATCAGAACTTTTCAAGAAACTTAAGACCTTATTTTCTTTTAAAGATGTTATATTTTATAAAACTAAGATGACTAACTTATTGGAGAGCTGATGATACGTTCAAAAAAGGATCTGGTTGAAGCAGATGATTGTGCTGAAATGGCAATCATAAAAAAATAATGACATAATAGTTATAATTGGTAGTTATCGTTAGGTGGTATTACCATTTTCTCAAATCCGAAGAATTTCGTCCAGTGAATTTTCAGATTCACCCCATGTGTCCGTAGTTATGCGATGCGAAACCTTTTTAATTTGGAAACACTTTGTAGATCAAGTGGGCGAAGACTAGTTAATTTGTTCAGATTTTATTGATTTTTGTGTTACATGATAATGCAAAATAAAAAGATCTGCATTTGATATCATCGTAAAGTTTATTACATTTTAAATGCATCCCCTCTCAAATGCACATTCAAGACTGGTCAAAAAGGGATGCATTTAGATGAGGTTATAATAATAAAACATTACAATAAAGATGATCTGCAATGCAGATGATGATGATTTGCAATCAAGACGCATACATTATGCTTATTGTAAAATCCTCAAAACATATTGTTCTTATTTTAGGGTATGCAATCATTGCATGAAAACTTAATTTGTCGTGTTAATCCTTTGACAAAGTATTAAAGTCATACGAACTTGAAAAATCTCAATAAATTGTAATGTTTGAATTCTCTGATAATTAATTATTATAAACCACACTCGTATGTCGGGTAAACCTGATGTAAATTTTCTCACCAAAAATAACCTTTGTTAATCAAATTGGGAGGAGTTAATCTATCCAAAACCAATTAGTATGCTACATGATTATCGATCTTATTATACCGCACTTTTGGTAGACTGAGCTAGACCCTGTTTATAGGGTTCTTCATGCAAAATGGCGTCTTGAAAAGATTTATTCTTTTTTACATTCTTTTGTACTTGTACAACAATAATATCAAATGTGAAATTGTCAATAAACGCCAGTTAGAAATCACCACCATATAACGTTAATATCTCTTCATAATATGTGATTGCAGTTTCGCGTTTTTTTTTTTTGTAAATCTTTCGAAGCTTACAAATATCATCAGGTTCTTTCCTTTAATAAATGATTATGGAAAGTCAATGTTGAAAAGTACAAAATTCAATCAAAAAATACAAGTTTTCCTTTTTTTTTTGCAGATATTAATTACCAAGTCAAAAAAAAATTTAGATATTTATTCTGTTCTGGTGATATGTTTTCGATGTTAGAATAATTCGTTGATAATGATAATGACAATTTACTGAACGACCGCGCCCAATATGTTGACAAGCATCAACATATGCAGTGATTCAAAAAAAAAAAAAAGAAAAAAGGCTTGGCATATTCTACATGAAGATTTTCTGTAATTTATTTAGAAGTATTGTCAGTAACAAAAGTCTTCGTGGCACTTTAGTGCTTTGTTCCGCAACAAATCCATCCTATATTTTGAAACTCGTTGTAATACAATATTTAATGCAAACATTAAAAAACCGGACCGACCCGTAATTCTTAAAGCAGTAATTTTTTTTTAAAAAAAAATAAAAAAAGAAAATGCGATTAAATGTAATGTACACTATAAATACAATTTTTAAGAAAAAATATATCAAATATAAAAATTTCTAATCGCGTCCAAGAAAGATCCTATTAATACTTGGAGGTTTCACGATAATGATTCATTCGGTGATACGGCTCTTCATCGGGTTTTTGAAATCTGCATTAAAAATAAAACTTAAATCGCGAAAATTCTTGTACACTACACGCGTACAAATTTTTTATATTTTTATATGAATTGAATGAGAAAACACTAAATTTCAACGACTGTATATGATTGATTGTGTGTATACATGAAACGATGCATTTATTATTATTCTTTTATCATTATGATTATTTTTCTTAATGAATTACAAATATAAGTACAAAAAAAATTCAAGAAAAAAAAAAATTGAATTTATATTTACGATTAAGTCTAAAGCGCTATACAATCAAATTTCCTGCACTAATAAAGAAAACTCAAATGTAAATTACTAAATTACAAGATGAAATATTTACAGAAGATATATATTTGTTTTTGTTTGAGGCGAAGAAAAAAAGGAAAAAAAAAATTTAGCGAATACGGGTTTTAAATTCTATCAATTAAAAAAAAAAAATACGTTTATGAATTAAAATGTAATACAATTTATATATATATATATATTTTTCCTTGAAATCTTGGCAAACAAAATAAAAAAATTATTAAAAAGGGAATGTGTTTGTGTGCATGAAAGGATTGTTAAAAATAAATAAAATAAAATAAAATAACAGGAATCATAATGATCATATATTGATCGTTGCGTAACGTACGTAACGTAACACAAACTCAGAATTTTCAAGGAAACGCTTCTATATGAGGTAGGGTGATGAGGAATGAGAAGTTTCAACGAAATGAATGCGTTCAGTGCTCCTCCCCCGAGTTTTTTTTTTTCATACATATGATAAGGTATCCGATAATCTGGCTTCTTTAGGTCTCGTAATATCATTCACGGTAACCTCTGGATAACCCGAGCTTTCATAATCATCGCTACAATTATCGCTGTAAGGGTATGAACGATTTGAAAACATAGAATGTGATCGAGGACAATGTGAAAGGTATGACATGGGCGTATTTACGGTCGTAGTTGGGCTTACACGGTTAGAGTTGTGCGAATATGCATCATATTCCGATCGTGTATTATATTTGAGCTCAAGTTGTTTGGATTTTTTCAACCTTTTTGGCCTACGTTAAGGAAAGGGAACGGGAATTAAAAGAGGTCAGAAAATCAGATGATGTGGATCACACGACGACGTCAAGTTTTTAACAATATTTACCTGCAAAATACGTAACCAAAAATGATTATCCAAAAGTCACGATATTGTTCGTTCGCAAATTCACCGGTTCCAAAGCATAACAAGAATAAGCTTGAGGATAATATCATGTATAACGCATGACCGTTCCTTAGCCAAAATTGTGTATTGATGGGAAAGTAACTGTATGGAACGATTCCATTGATCAAATAGTCGATGCTTGTTTTTATTATTATTATCGAAGTCGGAACGCCGAAAATGATTAACAAGCAGCACCAAAGTCCCATACGTAATAAAACATTTCTTGGTAATAGCATCTTCGCATTTGGGGGAATCGAAGGATTGGGAGGCGGACCACCTCGAGTTGGTAGGACGGGTGATTCTACGGGTTCTTTATCTATGGCCCATGGAATTGAAAGCGAATTTTGAAGTCTACGATTCTCGAAAACTTTTTTCGCGACGGGAATAAGTGCAAAAACTGATAGAATGCTAGCAGGGAAGATTAAAAGGTATTCTGGTAAAGTTCTAAAGATGAATAAAAGTCCTCTGAATTTTCCATGACGGGACACTTCACACATGCCTTCATCATCAATGTTTACAAAAACTTGGTCGCCCCCGGATAACAATATGATGATACCAGAAAAAACCGATACAAATGGAATGAAGAATGCCAAACATATATTCAACCTTTTGATTCTTGGGTCTTGTCTCGCAGCGGGATTTGTCAATCTTAAAGAAACGAACAATTCTACTGATAAGGCTAAAGCTAAACCTGCGATTGCTACTGAACTTAGTGATAATGCCAAACCACTTATTAAACACGCATATTTTTCCGCTTCCGTTGCACTTTCAATTTTGAATCCATTATTTAGAGTTAAGCCACCAAGTACATATGAAAGTGAGTAAAAGGAATTTGAGACGCTATAAAAGATAAGAACGAACCCATTTCGTTTTACTTGCACGTAAATATTTTGAAAGCATAATATGCAAATTAATATCGATATATATAGTACTAAGGAATCCATTATAGGGATGGGATTTTTAGAGGAATAAAGGACTAAAAACTGAAGGAAAAGATTTTTTTTTTTAAAAAAAAAAAAAAATTTCTGAAGTTATAAATATTTATAAAAAATATTTTAATTTGATCTTCGTTGTCAAAAATTAAAAATTAAATGGTTTTTTTTTTTTATTTTTCTTAAAGGAAAATGAATAAATGATTATTTTTGAATTTTAAAAATACTTGTAAAAAGATGGATAAATTAAATAAACAAATGAATGTATTAAAATGAGTAAATTAAAGGGGGAGGGTGTTAAGATGAGCCAAGCGGATACTAGGGGGGGTAGAAAAAATTTCATTAAATTTCTGTCCTAAATCCAAGTAAAGCAAGTTTTATGGAATATATAAATAAATATAAATTTAATATAAATAGGATTCATAAAATAAAGTTTAATGGTTTGTATATACAAACAACTGATAAGGAACAACTCGGTTACTTTGGTTTAAAAAAGTGTAGATAACGGATAAATATTGCTGCGGGATTTTTGATTTACTTCGGTTAATAACAGCTTTCCATTATTTAAGCAAAAGATTTCCTGATAGGTTTGTTTCCCATTTATTTCCGTTATAAAAAGAAATAAAGATAAATGGATACATATATATACTTTATGTGATAATGTGAAATATGCGATCCATCGACTCTCACATGTTTGTTTATCACTTGACGTGATAGTTATTCTTACGAGTCTGGAACGCTTCTTCAATTTGTGAATATTCAAATTAGTTGATTGGTTTCATCGTCAAATTTTTCGAGGCAATTGATTTTTTATTTTTGTTTTATTAAATGTCCCACGAAAACAGTTTCTTAATTTTTTCAATTTTACTTTAAAAAAAAAGATATATATAAAAAGTTAAATAAAAGAAAAAGAATTTGTTCAATTTTGGTAAATCTCTTATCTAATCTTTTTAATGTTTATCACTGATCTTTTTTTAATTTTCTTATCTTATCATAGGAAATTTACATTTATGGAAGGCCGTATTTTATTCAGGTTTGGTACAGTTTCCAAAAAAAAAATAGTTTCATGATCTGCAATGATTTTAATTTATTTTCCTGCGTTTTGTAATTACCACCCGCCCATCTTGAAAAAAAATTATTTTCGTGACTAAACTTAATTTGCCATTGTCAATTACTTTTTATTATATATCTTCCAGAGCGAATTTTACATTTTTTTTTTTAAAAGAAAATTTTCGTTTTAAAATTTCTCGAATATAAAAAATAAGTTCTCGAAATTTCTTGAAAGTGAATAATTAATATTCACGTGTATGTTTTAAATTATCAACGTTTCAGGGAAAGATAAATAAAACCAAATTGTTTAAAAAAAAAAAATATTAAAAAAATTGATTAATGAACTTCCTTAAATGTCATCAATACGTTTATTTGGAGGACTGTGTTATCTTTGTAATTATCACAAAAATAATTGAAATGATGTATTCAGATGACTCTATTTAAGATCACGCCTCGGAAGTAAATCGGAATGAATAATTTTCCCAAAACATATAATTTAAGAACTTTGTACGGTGTGAATTTTTTTCTTTCGGGAAGAATCTTTACCGTTATTGTAGTAGGTGGTCATGCATGAACGGAATGAAACCAATTGTTATGGAAACTAATATGCAATGATAGAAAATTGACCACCGATCTTATCCCGTTTCAATACGAATTATTTGTTGCTCAATTTTTTGAATCTTCAAAGAACATTCCAGAATTCCGTAATGTGACACAGTGAAATTCAACATTGATGCAATCAAATTTATTTGTTTGCTCGCGAACGCGCTTAACTATATATATAATTAAAAGCAATCTTTTTCATACTCGAGATAACCACGGTTTAAATTTATGCAAATCGTTACTCCAATGTAACATGCCATCAAAATACAGTAATTATTATTATATAATTAAATAATATAATGAATGAATGTTCATTTGAGTCTTAATGCCTAAAACAAATTATTGCGATAAGAAATTCAGAAATAAATTATTTGAATAACAAATTAAAAAAAAGATCATTTAAACAAAAATGTAAAGGAAGTTTCCGGTATGCTATTTACGCGAATAAATAAACAATTGAAAGTTGTACATATGTAATTAATAATATAATTACCTTAAGATAAATCTCCAATCACACCACATGAATGAGAAGAACTAGTGTATAATTTATGTTCATTTGAAAGTCATGAACTTTTTAATTCTTTAAAAAAAGATCAAATAAAAATCCGATTAAACAATCAATCAAAAGATGAAACACATTACAGCATTAAAAATGAATGCATTATCTGTTATTTTTAAGTTTTATTTTTTAAGGAGCAACTTAAACATTAAACCATAAATTGTATGTCGGTCGGGTCATCAATTTGAAATTCCTAACCAATTAACGGTTTAATTCCCGATTTAGTACCTATTTACTTGATCTTGACAGGAATATGTAATTGACTCAATTCTTAAAATCATGCGGTTAATTTTTTTTGGCGCCGCTAATTTGCCACGTGATAGAATGATTTTAGGCGTAGAATCAACTCCACCAAACTTTGATATCGTAATTCAATATATATATAACAGGCGATATTAATACGTTAAGGATGATTGTATAAATAATGATGGTAAGTCTTAATTATTTGACTTTGTATTTTGTAAACTTTTTTTTTTTTTTCTTTTTTTTTTTTTTTTTTTTTACGTAATCTTCCTGTAGATGATCTAGAATATCTGGACGAAAGTCTGATCTTCTAATTCTATGGTTGGAAGGTTTTGACGATTTTAATTTAACTTTTTTGGAACATTTATATGCAAAGTCCAAAAGGGTCCATCATAAAAAGGTTAAAAAGGTTAAAGATGACTAATGATCATCATGAATAGTTGGCAAAAAAAAAAAATAAATTGGATATAGTAGATAACAAACATCCTACTAAACATTTTAATTTATTTTCGGAATGCTTGTAAGACTGTACTGTATATTGACAACTAATATCTTCCGATTTTTTTATACCATAAAAAGAATTTCAATAATGCTATAGGGTTATAAAATGGTATGGATCGCTATGTGATTTACTATTTGTTAGTGGTACGATTATCTGTCTTACATAATGATTTAATGATAAACTATCAAGTTAAAATTCGTTTCGTAAAAGAAATTTTCATATTTTTTTTTTGAAACTCCCCAGGCCCCATGATTCACTAAAAAGTTATTAAAATACCAGATTAGGTTGCTTGTATTATATTACATATACATTATACCGACCATCTCCGTTTAGCAACGATAAGGCGATTATATAATGAGTGCAAATTAACACTTCTTATCGATGTAGTCATTTGCGATAACAAAATTAGTACGACTTGTCTCCTTGAAAGAAATTAATGACGCTAATGCAAACTAAGAAATAAATGGATCCATATGTATTTATTAAATCGACAATGATACAAATCTCCGTATGAATCATGAATGTTCTGAGAAATCTAATGGCGAAGCATGGATTTCCGTCTCAGCAACAACTTTGTCGATTATGAAGCTACAAAACTAGAATGAGATTGCGTATGTTTTTAGAAGTATGTTGGGTTGGTTAAGAACTTATCATGCCCGCGATCAAACTTTTTATTCGGCGAGTTCATCCATTAAAGGTTATACACGTCCTATAGTTTTAAACCATGTCCGGACACTTGTGGCACCGGATATTAATGGGTTTCCCTTGTAAAAGGTGCTAACACCCCTTCGCTCATATTTTCTAATTTTTGAAATAATATGAATGATATTCAGCTAAGCCTTTCATAATCAATATTTATTTATTAGTAATTTATTTTATTTGCAAATTTTTTACCTATTTTGATTATTAAATAACCACTTCAGATTTGTAATCAAATTTTTATAAACAATATTACTTGTCAATTTTACGTCAAATTGAATCATTTTAAAAATATTTATCAGAAAATAATCAAATTTATAATGTTTTATAAGTATAAATAATTACATAATTAGTAATTTTTTGTTATACAATATATAAATGTTTATACTAATAAAAGTACAAAAGTATTGATATATTATATAATAAGTAATTTTTTGTTATACAATATATAAAAGTTTACACTAATAAAAGTACAAAAGTATATATTTATTAAAAATTATATATTATAAAATTTTTTATCATTTATTTAAAAATTATTTTTATTCTTTTATAAATTAATATAAATAATTATAAATTGAAAAATCACAGATTGAAAAATATGTAAGAAATTTTGGTGTAAATCATATAAGCTAATTTATAAAATTTACAAAATATACTTAAATATGTAAAAATAACTAATAATAGGCAAAAATAATTAAAAATAAGCAAATATAGATAATAAAAATAAATATTGCTTTTTACATCAAAATTTTCTACTAATTTTTAAGCATATGACCTGTAAAAGTATTACAAATTATAAAATATATTATAAATTTGCAATAATTAAATATAATCTTATAATATAGTAATTTATTTATAATATAATATTATATGTATTATTTAAATAATTTAATAGGCAAATTTATTTGCAAACTTAAAAAAAAAGTATTTTTTCTTAAAAAATATAAAATTTTAATATTAATAATACAAAAAAAATATATATATATATAGTTATCAATTTTGTAGAAAATATTTTAAAATATTAAAAAATTATTTAAAATAATTTTAATTTAAAAAAAATATAAAATTACTAAAATTTATTTAATTTTATTAAATTATTATAATATTTATTATTCTTTAACTAGTTTTGTTTATAAATTTGTTAATTAACGAAATATACATTTTGGTTGATAAAAAAATAATATTAACTAATATAAAAAAGGTAAATAAATTGACTTAAAAGGAAAATTGTGTTCATATTGTCACTGATCATTGCCTTGTAATATATAAAAAAGAAAAGATTTTTAAAAAAATCTTGATGTCATTTTTAAGAAAACATTATTACTGTTTACTGTTACTGAATTCATTATACTATTT